ACATAGAATTAGATTCCAAACCAGAAGTAACTAATTCTATAACTTATCAACTAGGGAAATAATACAAATGTACATAGAATTAGATTCCAAACCAGAAGTAACTAATTCTATACAAAATAATTATGGCGGTGATCCCCTTCCATAGAGGATGGGTTAATATTGATAATCAGTATTGATGATAAGAAATGAATTAGACAAGTCGCAAATCCAAAGATTTATAACGACAAGCAAACAATAAATATAGGTAGATTGCTGACACAAATTTCCGTTTACCTATCCACTGAATATGTATATCGAAGTTGAAATATGATATACACTGGTCAAGATGGTCAGTGGACATCGGTCAGCGGTTTTCCCGCGGTCCACGTAATCCTTTGTGTCCGGAGAGCACACGTGTGACTGAAGCTGACCAACAAGTACATGTAAGTATGTCCACAGACTTAGATAGAAAATCTAATTCCGTGTTATGCCTAACTTTTAGACAAATTTCGTTTAATAATCAATTAAGTTTGGGCAGAGACATATAAAGCTAGTAGTATAATACATGTACTTCATCCTCCGTGCTGTTTACTAGATAGGTACACATATTGCACTGAGGCATGGATAACATTCATCTACATGTGCCAAGACGTTATTGCCATGGAAATTCAAGGGATTACGCCCACTTTGTCCTCTTTAAAGTAATTTGCAGGATGATACTTAGACTCATTCAACCAGACGGTTGATCACTTTGTAAGTGCGCAGATAAAAAGAGTCTGGTTGAACGAGACTTCGACGTTATGACTGTTTTTGAGACATAAATAATACCTTTAGATATTGTGTCTAGCATATTACAGATAATATCATGAATGGTTAGAGCCGATCATTCGGTATAATCCAACATTGTGGTACTCACAAACAAAATACTTTCGCATGGCCATATATTGCTCTGTTGTATTATACATAGTATTATGAAAAAACATTCCTAAAATTGGAATGGTTATATTTATCGGTCATAATTAGATCATTCTGTTAGGTATCGATAGTGGGTTTTTTTAAGATATAAAAAACAAAAGGGTAAAAAATCACGGTGTATTTCATGTTTAATTGTCGCTATTGGTTGTTAATATACGAGAAACATTTATACGTTTAATCTTACCTCTGTTTTTACTCCCGACATTTATTTATTTACCTTTTTATTTTCAGATACGCAAGAATTTCTCAAGAAACAAATACAGAAGACTTTACGAGAGAAATTTCTGAATACATAAAAACATGAAACGAAAATAGTTTTCGGGTGATTTCTTACCAGACTATATATATGTATACAACCATTCCCTCCTATTATAATCTTATTGTATTTTTAATCTGTTAGAATATTAACGGGTCATTACGTCCTAGTTCCATCTTCGCTAGAACGAACACAAGGGGAAGTAACTCTTTTACACGTGTCTGTGGATATCAATATCAGCTTACAGATCCTGTCAGACCTAGACTCTTTGACTTTCGTTGGGTGTCTCTACTTTACATCTTTTACTTGTTTCAGATCGACTGGACGTACGTATCGGAGGATCTGCAACGATGGTAAGTACCTGTGCACTAAGCAAATACCTATGTAGATCACATCTCCTGTAACTGTCGGAGACTGGTGTGTAGGGATATACATGTGTGTGAATGTGATCAGACTGTTTCTTATCTGAGGCAGGTCACAGGCCATAGGCACGTTCTATGACGGTTGTTAGCGTTTTATTACCTGTATTACAACCATTGCGTTCACTATTGTTACAATATATCTAGTCCATGTGTTATCAGAACTGCGACTATTGTTATAGAGTAGGTACAGTACGATTGACTTGATATCAGTTAATTTGTGAGCATTACCATTTGATAAAATATACCCTGATAATCCAGTACCACAGAAAGTTGCGTAAAATACACCAGGTTCAGAGTTAAACAGAGTTAATAGCCTTTTTTTTAAAAGTTTTTACAGTGATAACCATGTATAACGTATATAGTACAAGTGGTATCGTACAGGGTTGATATATACTATTTCCTTCACTTACATGTAAGTAATGACTAGCTAGCAACGTTATCACAGGACAACTAGGACATGTCACCCTGGTGGAAACCCAGCATTCTCGGTAATTCTTTTTCAATCTCGGAGACTCTCCCAGGATGCATTGCGGTGCCCTCCATTCGTCAAGATTAATAGAAAAACTTTCATCACGTCTCCTATTTTAATTTTTATATAATTATGAGTGACTTTTTTATTTACATAAATGTGATTATTTGCGGAAATACTTTACGGTGAGTTAACAGTCGTACACACAATCTGCAGTTTATTTTTGTTTACAACTTGGTGTGGTATAAACATTGTGTACAATCACAACGCTGGTAATTTTATATCTGTAATAGTGCTGTAAATGACTAATGATACGGAGATCAACAGTGATGAAACCACCTATTCAATGTTGATTTTCGACCATCAACTCCTTCCTAAGACACTACGAGTTAACGTTTCATTTAATTCTTTATTACTTTAAACCCTGCAGCATTTGTATTAGAAGAATGTGACGTTAATTAATTAATGATAGTCACGTTACTATTACGCGACGTACATGTACAATATTAAGGTTTTGATATTAATGCGAGCAACTCGGTAGTGGTAATCGCCCCCTGTACCTACTACATACCATATTTTGCTGAAACTATCAATATGCGTTTTTTTTACGAAAAGTTTCATGTAACACAACCACAAACTGTTTATATGTGATGTTTCGATTCCTAGTGCGGTATGCACTCTTGTCACCTTCATCAGAAAAATGACCAGGAACAAAAATTGCGTTTAAGGTTATTCAACAAAATATCATCTGAATTTATTTCACAAAACGGACTTTGATCCTCCTAAATGTTACTCACCCAAGTTCTTGCATGTAACATTACTAAATATAGATACATGACGCCGCTTTGTGGAGTTTACGTCTGGCGGTAAAGGAGTGCAGTAGTCGGTTTGGTTCCCGATTACTGCTTCAAAATAAATCAGTTTAGTGTGACTAGGCCGTGACGAGAAGATTCATTAAAAAGTAAGATAGATACAACCATTCATGTGCTCAGCGCGTACAATTACCACGTTTAGAAGATTCATATCTGGGATCTATTTTCATACATTATTTCGTTTTATTGAATCTAACCGTCTATATAGGGCTGGACCGTGTCTTGTTTTATGTGTAAACAAGTAAATCCATAAAGAATAATTATCAGAAATTGAAGACTATACATATATTTGAAGATAAGTGTTTGTAAGACAAAAGTTCAATTTCGTTTGCAATCGCCACAGGCACAGCTAGCAACATGGTTTTGATAGAATCTTTTTTATATATCGGTGACAGTGGTACTGGGTTCGATTCCTGTTCTATTCAGCGGTTTGATAGTTTACTCGAAGAAAAATCTAGGAAATACAGTGTTCGTAAACAGGGATATTATTTTTTTAGACTGAAAAACAAGACTTCGACAACATTGAGAAGGGAGAGTCGACAGAGAATGCGCCCGACAATTCCGGTCAAAAGGCAAAACCACGTGATCTTCTGTATGCAGTGGATGAGGTACCGCCCTGGTACCTCTGTATCATCCTCGGGTTCCAGGTAACGAATACATTTGTTAAGATTCATCACAAGGAACAATTAAAAGATATATTCACTACCGATTTGCTAGGGTGGTACCTGTTACTACATGGTACGCGCAGGACGTTTAACACTGTACACAATTATTTCCATCGATTGTTTAAAATGTTTCACACAAGGACGTCAGATATAACATATAACTGAAGACAGATATAGTCACGGCCCACTTACATATATACCTGCCTTGCTATGTAATACGTGACATGACCTGCATTTTTCACCTCTTTTTTAAAATTATTGTTTACTTCAATCAGCACGTTCTTTGTTGAGTGTTTGTATCATCTAAAACCCCATAACGTCGAATTCCTACACATCGAAATTTATATCATCTCCAGTGGCGGATCCAGAGTTGTTTTGGGCTTATCTCCCTTGAACTGCGCCACGACACACGTGCGCTGTCCTCAAAAGCACACGTTTTTATTCTGCCCTATTTAACTACATGTTTAAATGTTGAGAGCTGAAGTAAAGACATCCCGTACGGACTTCCTGTGAAATTATTAAACAATACCAGTCCCCCAGCCGTGTCTGACAGGATATCAGTCACCATTTGGGATGGTTGTTCTCTGGCAGATCTAACTAAACTTGAACAAGTTCAGCTTGAAGCAGCAAGAATTATTACTGGCCTACCCTCTTTTTCTAGTAAACAATCACTTTATCAAGAATCCCAACTTGAACCTCTATCTGAAAGAAGAAAACTTAAGAAACTTTCCCTAATGTACAAACTCCATAATAAACAAACACCTTCTTATTTAACTAACATTCTTCCTCCTAAAGTATGCGAACGCAATAGCTACAACTTGAGAAATACTGAAAACTACACTGTTCCCAATTTCCGTCTGTCTAGTTCATTCCAATCCTTTATTCCTTCTNCTAACCAAGGTTACTTATTGCCTATTTTTTTTCATGTTGGAAATCGAAAACTAAATATTTTACATACACGATTGCGTCATTCATGTAGTAGTTTAAATATGATTTGTATAGAGTTAATATTGTAGGTGATCCAATGTGTGCATGTGGAAATGAGTGTGAAAATGCAGTCCATTACTTTTTATATTGTTTGCTGTATATCAGACAAAGACAAATTTTGATTGATGATATCTCACGTTATTGCAATATTTCTCTAAATGTTATTATGTACGGTTCTCCAAATTTGTCAGATGAAGACAATGAAAATATCTTCCATATAGTCCAAACCTATATTAAAAATAGTAACAGATTTTAAGGTCAGTAGTATCATCCTATCATCTCTCTTTCTTATTCTTCTAAATTTCTTTTCTTCCCTTTTCCCTTCCTTTCTTCTTTGTTCATATATATTATAAATATATTTGTTGTTGTTGTCATGTAATCAATATAATGAAATGTATTGGAGAGGGCGTTTCTAAGTTGAGATAACTTGTGCCTAATCCTTTTTGTTGAATGACAAATATATTTTTTTTTTAAATCAAATCAGTCACCACCTTGTCTAACGCATTTGATCATATTTGATAGATGTGATATTTGACAAAATTCCTGCCGTATTAACAGCTGAAAACGAAATTTGATTGTACCGTGACATGACGTTGGTGGCCACTATTACCGTATTGTAACATGACGTAGGTGGCCAATATCACCGTACCGTGACATATCGTAGGTGACCAATATCACTGTACAGTGACATAACGTAGGTGTCCAATATCACCGTACCGTCACATGACGTAGGTGGCAGATATCACCGTACCGTGAGATGACGTTTGTACCGTGACATGACGGTGGTGGCCACTATTACCGTACCATGACATGGCGTAGGTGGCAAATATCCCCGTACGGTGACATAACGTAGGGGGCAAATATCACCGTACCGGGACATAACGTAGATGGCCAATATCACCGTACGGTGATATTGGCCATCTACGTTATGTCACGGTTCGGTGATAATGGCCACCTACGTTATGGCACCGTACGGTGATATTTGCCCCCTACGTTATGTCACCGGACGGTGATAATTGCCACCTACGTTATGTCTCCGTACGGTGATATTTGCCAACTACACGTCATGTCACAGTACAGTGACATTGGCCGTAATAACTTCGTATAGCATATATTATACGAAGTTATACGAGTAGGTGGCCAATATCACCGGACCGTGACATGACGTAGGCGGCCAATATCACCGTACGGTGACATGACGTAGGTGACCACTATCACCGTACCGTGACGCAACGTAGTTGGCCATAGCACCGTACCGTGACATATCATAGGTGGCCAATATCACCGGACCGTGACATGACGTAGTTTGCCACTATTAACGTAACATGACATGGCGTAGGTGGCCAATATCGCCGTACCGTGACATAACATAGGTGGCCAATATCACCTTACCGTGACATGGCGTAGGAGGTCATTATCACCGTACTGTGACATAACGTATGTGGACAATATCACCGTACCGTTACACAACGTAGGTGGCCAATATTACCGTACCGTGACATACCGTAGGGGGGCAATATGACCGTACTGTGACATAACGTAGGTGTCCAATATCACCGTACCTTGACACAACGTAGGTGGCAATATCACCGTACCGTTACATGGCGTAGGTGGCCAATATCACCTTACCGTGACATGGCGTAGGCGGCCAATATCACCGTACAGTGACATAACGTATGTGGACAATATCACCGTACCGTAACATAACGTAGATGGCCAATATCACCGTACAGTGACATAACGTAGGTGTCCAATATCACCGTACCTTGACACAACGTAGGTGGCAATATCACCGTACCGTAACACAACGTAGGTGGCCCTATCACCGTACCGTGACCAACCGTAGTCGGCCATATCACCGTACCGTGAGATGACGTAGGTGGCAAATATCACCGAACCGTGACATAACGTAGATGGCCAATATCACCGTACAGTGACATAACGTAGGCGACCAATATCACCGTACTGTGATATAACGTATGTGGCCAATATCACCGTAGCGTGACATGACGTAGGTGGCAAATATTACCGTACCGTGACATACCGTTGACATGACGTTGGTGGCCACGATTACCGTATTGTAACATGCCGTAGGTTACCAATATCACCGTACCGTCACATAACGTAGGTGGCCAGGATCACCGTACCGTGACATCACGTAGGTTGCCACTATTACCGTACCATGACATGGCGTAGGTGGCCAATATCGCCGTACCGTGACATGACGCAGGTCGCCAATATCACCGTACCGTGCCATACCGTAGGTGGTCAATATCACCGTCCCGTGACATGACGTAGGCGGCCAATATCACCGTACGGTGCCATAACGTAGGTGGCCACTATTACCGTATTGTAAAATGACGTAGGTGGCCAATATCGCCGTACCGTGACATAACGTTCGTGGCCATTATCACCGTACAGTGACATAACGTAGGCGGCCAATATCACCGTACAGTGACATAACGTAGGCGGCCAATATCACCGTACCTTGACACAACGTAGGGGGCCAATATCACCGTACAGTGACATAACGTATGTGGACAATATCACCGTACCGTAACATAACGTAGATGGCCAACATCACCGTACCGTGACAGAACGTAGGTGGCCAATATTACCGTACCGGGACACAACGGAGGAGGTCATATCACCGTACCGAGACACAACGTAGGTGGCCAATATTAACGTACCATGACATGACGTAGGTGGGCACTATCACTGTACTGTGACATAGGTGGCCAATATCACCTTACCGTGACATGACGTAGGTTGCCAATATTAACGTACCATGACATGACGTAGGTGGGCACTATCACTGTACTGTGACATGTGGCCAATATCACCGTGCCGTGACATGACGTAGGCGGCCAATATCACCGTACCGGGACATAACGTAGATGGCCAACATCACCGTACCGTGACAGAACGTAGGTGGCCAATAACACCGTACCGTGACATGGCGCAGGTGGCCAATATCACCTTACCGTGACATGGCGTAGGAGGTCATTATCACCGTACTGTGACATAACGTATGGGGCCAATATCACCGTACTGGGACATAACGTATGTGGCCAATATCACTGTACCGTGACATGACGTGGGTGGCCAATATAACCGTACCGTGACACAACGTAGGGGGCCAATATCACCGTACAGTGACATAACGTAGGTGACCAATATCACTGTACAGTGACATAACGTATGTGGCCAATATCACCTTACCGTGACATGACGTACGTGGCAAATATCACCGTACCGTGACATAACGTAGGTGACCAATATCACCGTACTGTGACATAACGTATGTGGCCAATATCACCGTACCGTGACATGACGTAGGTTGCCACTATTAACGTACCATGACATGGCGTAGGTGGCCACAATCACTGTACTGTGACATGACGTAGGTGTCCACTATCACTGTACTGTGACATGACGTAGGTGGGCACTTTCACCGTATCGTCACATGCCGTAGGTGGCCAATATCACCGTACCGTGACATGACGTAGGTGGCCACTATCACTGTACTGTGACATGACGTAGGTGGCCACTTTCACCGTATCGTAACATGCCGTAGGTGGCCAATATCACCGTACCGTGACATAACGTAGGTGGCAAATATCACCGTACCGTGACATGACGTAGGTGGCCACTATTAACGTACCATGACATGACGTAGGTGGCCATAATCACTGTACCGTGACATGACGTAGGTGGCCACTATCACTGTACTTTGACATGACGTAGGTGGCCACTATCACTGTACTTTGACATGACGTAGGTGGCCACTATCACTGTACTGTGACATGACGTAGGTGGCCACTATCACTGTACTGTGACATGACGTAGGTGGCCACTTTCACCGTATCGTAACATGCCGCAGGTGGCCAATATCACCGTACCGTGACATAACGTAGTTGGCCAATATCACCGTACCGTGACATGACGTAGCTGGCCAATATCACCGTACCGTGACATAACGTAGGGGGCCAATATCACTGTACTGTGACATAACGTATGTGGCCAATTGACACAACGTAGGTGGCCAATATCACCGTACCGTGACACAACGTAGGTGGAAAATATCACCGTACCGTGACATACCGTAGGTGGCCAATATCCCCGTACCGTGACACAACGTAGGTGGCCAATATCCCCGTCCCGTGACACAACGTAGGTGGCCATATCACCGTACCGTGACATAACGTAGGCGGCCAATATCACCGTACCGTGACATGACGTAGTTGGCAAATATCACCGTACCGTGACATAACGTAGGAGGCCAATATCACCGTACCGTGACATAACGTAGGTGGCAAATATCACCGTACCGTGACATAACGTAGGTGGCCAATATCACTGTACTGTGACATAACGTATGTGGCCAATATCACCGTACCGTGACATGACGTAGGTTGCCACTATTAACGTACCATGACATGACGTAGGTGGCCATAATCACTGTACTGTGACATGACGTAGGTGGCCACTATCACTGTACCGTGACATGACGTAGGTGGCCAATATCACTGTACTGTGACATAACGTACCGTGACATGACGTAGGTGGCCACTATTACTGTACTGTGACATGACGTAGGTGGCCCCTATCACTGTACTGTGACATGACATAGGTGGCCACTATCACTGTACTTTGACATGACGTAGGTGGCCACTATCACCGTACTGTGACATGACGTAGGTGACCACTATCACCGTACCGTGACATGGCGTAGGAGGTCATTATCACCGTACTGTGACATGGCGTAGGTGGCCACAATCACTGTACTGTGACATGACGTAGGTGGCCACTATCACTGTACTGTGACATGACGTAGGTGGCCACTATCACTGTACTGTGACATGACGTAGGTGGCCACTTTCACTGTACTGTGACATGACGTAGGTGGCCACTTTCACCGTACTGTGACATAACGCAGGTGGTCAATGTCACCGTACCGTGACATGACGTAGGTGGCCACTATCACCGTACCGTGACATGGCGTAGGAGGTCATTATCACCGTACTGTGACATGGCGTAGGTGGCCACTATCACTGTACTGTGACATGACGTAGGTGGCCACTATCACCGTACCCTGACATGGCGAAGGTTGCCACTTTCACCGTACTTTGACATGACGTAGGTGGCCAATATCACCGTACCGTGACATAACGTAGGTGGCCAATATCACCGTACCGTTACATGACGTAGGTGGATAATATCACCGTACCGTGACATGACGTAGGTGGCCACTATCACTGTACCGTGACATGACATAAGTGGCCACTATCACCTTACTGTGACATGGCGTAGGTGGCCATTGTCAACGTACCGTGACATGACGATTGTGGCCATTATCACTAGACTGTGACATGGCGTACGTAGGTACAACTGTGAAGAAATTCAACTTCCACACAGTGTTGCACTCCAAACTATCTTTTATTGTAACACTCGTAAAGGAATATGTCACTTCCGGTTCACAATAGTGCGTGAAAAAGAAGAAAGCCGCTTGGTTCCCATGACAACGAGGTCAACTTCCGAGTCATATTTAACAAAAAATTATCCGTCAACGTTAACAAGAATGAGTCATGGTAAACAGCGCTTCTTATCCTTCACGTGCCCGCTACATATTTTCTGAAGGTGATTTGTGCTATGTGTGAGCTTTCAAGGGGAAAATTCGGCACGTCCTCCCAACATTTGGAACAAGTAATTCCCTGGATCACGACGAAGCAAGGGTCCCGGGTCAAATGTTTCTTTCTCCTTGTATCACATTCCAGATGATGGATTCGAACCATGTCCGGAAGAGCTAGAACTATGTTGATAGGATTTGGTTTAGTGACGGCTTGCAGTCCAAAAGCCTTCGTGTGCATTCTTCTCGTGTGTGTCTCTTGTAAAACTAGAAACCACGTGTTAGTAACTAAGTTTCCAGGGGCTACCATGGCTGAAGGATTTCAGGGGGTCCATGACTGACCTGAAAATATGAGAAAATGTCTACATTTTAGATTTCTCCCACATAAACAATTTGTACCACCCCGTGATATTTCTTCAATCTAAATGGAATGGCTTTATTTGATTATTTTTTTACAGCACCCGTACTTGCATATTGATTGTTCGAGTTCCTCCTTTGATACTTACGTCGGTTTAGACAAAGCTTGGCTACCCGATGCTAATCTGTAATATAGAGATGTAATATATTAGTTGTTTAAGTCTTTAAACAGATACTATATTTTATATATACTGCATTTGTTATGAGGCAACACGATTCTTTGTTTCGCTATGATTTTGCTATTGTAAAATTAGGATTAATCGAGGAGAAGCTAACTTTCTTGCTTCTTCACGGCAAGGGCAATACCTATTTGTATAGTGATCTACATTGTAGAACAATAACACACACGTGAAGTTAACCAGGCTACTGCGCGCCGTTATTGGTAGTCACTCCGAACTCAAGTGTGGTGCCTCTTGCTCATTTTCTAGGAAGGCTTCGTACACTGTGTGACCGGGACAACTTGAGCGCAAGAAGGAAATACGTCCTTTTATTTCCTTGTCATGTTATTTATTTAATCCAATCAGATTCAGTGTAACAATGGGCGTCTGGCCTTTTGGTTATGTGTAGCGGAAATGTGAGCGTACAATGAGAACAATCAATACTGAGTGATGTGGATTTTTCTTGTTTTTATTTTTGCACGTGGACCTGTTTTAATTTCGTTAATTTATTAGTGTTTCATTGTAAGATAATTGATTCTAATTCGATTAGAATACACTTGGTGCTATCAAACAATAGTTATGTCTCCTGCAGATGTTGAAATTAATGCTAGCTTTTCAAACTTCGTTGAATTGCCTGTCGAAGTGATTATGCTGCCCTCTGGAGGACATATTTCTGATTTTTGTTTGTTCTGATGTTTTGGGAGTGTAGTTAACGAAATGTTCTAATTTGTGGACAAAACCTGACACGTCCCTATGACAATAGCTGTCAATAGGACGCAAAACACAAACCAAACAATGTCTGACCCACGCGGATGTTATTATACACTAGTGGATAGAGGCATTTTGATGTTTAACTAGGTTGTCTCAGTCAGTACTGCATGGCTGTAATACGATACCATTAACTTTATAAACAACCCTTGTACGCTGTAATTTTGAGTTATATATGTTCCCTGATTAATGAGCTACAGTATACAGAAGTTCTTTACGTCTCACTCACCAATAACTTGTAGGGATCCAGACATCTTCGTTCCCACTGGGGCTTTTGATACGTCGAGGCTGTAATATACATGTTTATATGTTAACACAATACATAAATATATGGACCAATATGTACGTTAAAGGCGAATGTAGTAATAGCATGTAAGTAATTTCGGTATCAACATTTTTTTAAATTAGTGAACGGCAATAATGGTTTTTCTAATCTTGTCATGACGTCACAGATGACGCAGTAACAAATTATAAGCTTACCCCTCCATTTCACGTTCGATGCCCTCTGTCTGCGCGGCGTAGACCGCGGCGATGTTGTCGGCGGAATACAGACCCATAGGACTGTTAAACTGAGAATGCGTCACGTTTGGAATAGCCTTCTTCGCGCCTCCAGGGGAGAAAGGCTTTGATCCTTTTGTTGACATTTCCCGGAAGGCAGGGGACGCTAGCTGGAGAATGGTAACAAATGAAAAGTCAATAGTCGCACCTTTGCTTGCACAGGTAGATATAGTCTCCTCGCTCCAGAGATGTTACTTCCGGGTCTTATGTCATTATTAGGCTTATAAATCTTTACTAGTAGTAAGTAATATATGATTTTGACCATGCACTTTCTTTGGACTGAGTGATTAAAAATTAATCTCACCACTTCCTTAGGACCGAGAGATTAAGATTTGGGCCCGTATTCATGAAACCGTTCTCATGCTCAAGCATGGATTTTGTGCTCAAGTCTTACTTATTGTTCTTGCTGTAACATAATAAATAAATCTTGTTTTGTCAATGCTTTGGAAATATTTTGAAGAGATTTGAAGCTAACTACTGTTTCAATGTTTACATTTGATTGTTTGATTGTTTTACATAATCTAAGCGACTAACAAGAAAGTTGGCTGGAGCACAGAATCCATGCTTGAGCATGAGAACGGTTTCGTTGGGACTAAGGGATTAAGATTTAGATTTACCACTAACTTGGACCGAGGGATTAAGATTTAGATTTACCACTTCCTTGGGACTGAGGGATTAAGATTTAGATTTACCACTTCCTTGGACCGAGGGATTAAGATTTAGATTTACCACTTCCTGGGGACCGAGGGATTATGATTTAGATTTACCACTTCCTTGGGACTGAGGGATTAAGATTAAGATTTACCACTTCCTGGGGACCGAGGGATTAAGATTTAGATTTACCACTTCCTGGGGACCGAGTGATTAAGATTTAGATTTACCACTTCCTGGGGACCGAGGAATTAAGATTTAGATTTACCACTTCCTTGGACCGAGGGATTAAGATTTAGATTTACCTCTTCCTGGGGACCGAGGGATTAAGATTTAGATTTAAAACTTCCTGGGGACCGAGGGATTTAGATTTAGATTTACCACTTCCATAGGACTGAGAACCTCCGTATCTGGCGGAATCTCCACGCTTGTGTCTACGGAGAGGGGTGCGGTATGAGCTGGAGACTCTTTCTTAGGTTCACTTGGAGCAGGTTCTTGTAGTGGTTCCTTCTCTTGTGCTGGTGCAGGGGTTGTTTCGGGCGTAGATTTTGCAGGTGCTTCTAGTTCTGGTGCAGGCGCTTCCGGTTTTGAGGCAGGCATTTCCGGCACTTGGGAGGGTTCTGGAACGGCAGGTGTTGCGGCAGGGGCAGGGGCAGCGGCGGGGGCCGCGGCGGTCGGCTGTGACGACGGTTGAGATACTGGCGCCAGAACTGGTCCATAACCTTGTAGATATCCCTGGCTGTTGGCTTGTTGTACTGGTGCCGGGGGTTGTGTGGGCTGTGCCAATGTGACAAGCGCCGTGCCAGGCGGATCTCTGCAAATAGAAGAAACAAAACCGTTTTTAAAAAGTTCATGTTTGTGGTTATAATTCTAAAAGAGGTGCGTACCTATAATTTTGCTTAAAAGTCATCAACAAACGAATGGATATTTCAACGAAGGGACATTAACCATAAACTTTCAGTTGCAATAAAAAGCGAGCACACTTTTAATGATTACAATTTGAAACCATAACTATCGTTTTACTGGGGGTAACTCGTTATCCTTTATATTATACATGTTTACATTAACTTTAGAGTATTCGTGTCAGTATGTAAACCGGAATCAAATGGTTTTAAAATATCTGGTGGAATGTGGTATGAATGTGTGTAGTGTTATTCGCAGCTAGAGATCGTATAATTGTTATGAGAGATGTAATGTATAAGATATGATGTTGTGGTATACAACGAGAATAGCCCGAGTTTCCTCTGGCCCTTACACCAGACTTGGACATTTTGAGATATAGATGCCAACACCAGACATCTATATGTCAAAATGTCTAAGACTGGTGTTAGGGCCAGATGAAACTCGGGCAGATTGAAGCCCGTGGCCATCATATAGTTCGTTTCGTATCTAAAACAAAGTTGGCATTCTTCTTAAACAGTTTTTATGGACCAATCCAGAAGCACATTCAGTCTACACTGTATGAGTCAAATGACGCAATGAATCCTGAAACGATCTTATAATAATAAATTATGTGTGTGTTTATTTCTGTCTGTATTAATAGTTTCAGTGTACTCGGTATCGAAGAATTTACAACTACACCGCACTGATAGATCAATAGCGGCGTGTATACAACAGTGTTTGTTACCTGTACACTACGACTTCTAGTTCCAGACCCGATCTGATGATCTCCATCTTTGTCTGCTCGTGGGTCGCCCCGTCTACATTCATATTATTGATGGCAACAACCCTGTCACGTGGTCTGAGCCCACAGCGGTCACACACACTTTTCCTCACTATCTATAAAAAGAAACAATTGTCATAAAATGCCATTCGAAGTAAATGCAAATTCCTTTTTACATTACGACTCAATTAAAGTACCGGTCTAAAACAGTAACCTTTGCTCCCATTGTATCTCGACAAGTCCTGTATTGATTTTAGAGTATTTTCAAACTTGTATTAAGTCCTTTTGGTTGTGACATGTCAGGAAAGATAAAGACTGGACTTTACATGACATTGAAATATTTTGGAAGGACATTACTATGGTGGCTGATACATTACGCCTCATTGTTCGTTGTACTTGATATTTGGCGTCTCAAGTCAAACTGCGAGTATAGCGGATCAACTCAGTATGTTTCAATAGACAGCGTTTGATTGAAGTAAGGTGACAATTGTAATATTATCATTGGTACCAACGAACACGTCTAGTGCCAACATCCCTGTTTTGTCCCACGGGTTGTTTTCTTGGCGATATCACAAATTCGGAAGGTCGATGAACTAAGGTAGAGGGTACCTTTGTGCCAGTTATATTTGCGAAGGAGAGTTCCACTGGCAGAGTTTTTGTTTATTTGGAGTATTCTCCCTTCGAGTGTTTTTCTGACCTGTCATAGTTTTCATATGATTCAGACCCATTGAATCGGACGCTCAATTTGATGTTCTGCTTGTTTAATTCCTATATGACAAGATATAGTGTAGGATTTGCTAGATAAAGGGCCTGAGTTCGACTCCTGCATTTTTCTTGAATTTTCACATGACTTGGGGATTATCCCCAGGTCACATGACTGAATCACCAGACTAGTCTGAAGCCCCTACTGATCACAGTAAGGGTTGAAGTAGGCCACCAGGAGGTCGCCGACAGCTACACGGGGGTAGTAGTTAGGTGAGTGACATGGTTAAATGTTGGTTTAATATGCATTTTTCTTGTTTTCTTCTTTATTTCTCTTTTCAAACATTCAAATCTTAAACAAATGCAATTTTTTAAAACGAATGGCAACGGTATATTTATGAAATATCTCTTTTGAAAGGGACTTATCCAACTAACAATGGTGACAACGACAATCATACAATTAGTCTTTGTAGTACCCTTTTACCTTAAGCTATCAATCTATACATTTCGAAGAAATTAAAGCGTTTACAAGCACCTGACTGTGATGATAGTCACGAACGTTCCCAGCATTGGTCGGAAGGTGGTGGTCAGTCGGAAGGTGGTGGTCAGACCACCTTATATCTTAAGTTCATGTTTGCTTTGGTAATCACAGGCTTTGATTGGAGCGATATATAATTATAAGAAACAGACCGGTTTAGATTAGTGAAACCACAGATACTTTCTCGCCATTCCTGCCCTTGGGAAGCACTCGCTAATGGCTTCCATAATCTGATATTAGTGAGAACAGCCTCATATCTCTAGAACAAACACATATACAACACAAAAAGATGAAAGTTGAGCGATGCGGGGATTGAGGTGAACTTAACAATGTGGTGGGATAAGGGGGGGGGGGGGGGGGGNAAACGAGTACTTAGCAATGAGGCGGAGATGAAAAATTAGGACGTATAAAAGTAATTATTACTGGTAACTCAATCATTATACTTGAGTCGGGAATTTGGACAGCATATTTTGTTATCAAATATGTAAGCGGGGAAATCAGTTGAAGTCAATCATTAAAAAGAGAGTGAAAGTAAACACGTCTGTCACAGATTGTATTGTTCTGTAAGATTATAATAGTCGTACATGTAAGTATATCTGTAAGATTATTATAGTCGTACATGTAAGTATATACATACACTATGTGTAACCAATTATTCCGTGCAACTTTGCGCGACTCTTACCCCTGCTAAGGGTACTATAGACCCCCTCCCCGCGCCGGTATACACATACACGTGTCTGTATCTTCTACTCCAGACGGAATTGTTATTGGCACGCGAACATCACAGCATGCCGTGGCATACACTACAAAAAAGCATTAGGGTCTGACCGATACATCCATCAGTACAACGTGTAGGTGACCGATGTATACATAGCTACAGTGTCCGTGACTAGTAACTGACCAGTAAACCCTCACTACAGTGTCCGTAACTAATAACTGGCCAGTAAAGCATCACTACATTGTCCGTGACTAGTAACTGACCAGTACATCTAAGCTACAGTGTCCGTAACTAGTAGCTGACCAGTAAATCCTCGCTATAGTGTCCGTGACTAATAACTGGCTAGTAAATCCTCGCTACAGTGTCCGTGACTAGTAACTGGCCAGTAAATCCTCACTACAGTGTCCGTGACTAGTAACTGACCAGTAAATCCTCGCTACAGTGTCCGTGACTAGTAACTGACCAGTAAATCCTCTCTACAGTGTCCGTGACTAATAACTGGCCAGTAAATCCTCGCTACAGTGTCCGTGACTAGTAACTGACCAGTAAACCTCGCTACAGTGTCCGTGACTAGTAACTGACCAGTAAATCTTCTCTTCAGTGTCCGTGACTAGTAACTGACCAGTTAATCTTCTCTTCAGTGTCCGTGACTAGTAACTGACCAGTAAATCCTCACTGCAGTGTCCGTAACTAGTAACTGACCAGTAAATCCTCACTACAGTGTCCGTAACTAGTAACTGACCAGTAAATCCTCACTGCAGTGTCCGTGACTAGTAACTGACCAGTAAATCCTCGCTACAGTGTCCGTAACTAGTAACTGACCAGTAAATCCTCGCTACAGTGTCCGTGACTAGGAACTGACCAGTAAATCTTCTCTTCAGTGTCCGTGACTAGTTACTGACCAGTAAAGCATCACTACAGTGTCCGTAACTAGTAACTGACCAGTAAATCATCGCTACAGTGTCCGTGACTAGTAACTGACCAGTAAAGCATCACTACAGTGTCCGTGACTAGTAACTGACCAGTAAATCCTCGCTACAGTGTCCGTGACTAGTAACTGACCAATACATCTAAGCTACAGTGTCCGTAACTAGTAACTGACCAGTAAATTCCTCGCTAAAATGTCCGTGACTAGTAACTGACCAATACATCTAAGCTACATTGTCCGTAACTAGTTACTGACCAGTAAAGCATCACTACAGTGTCCGTGACTAGTAACTGACCAGTACATCTAAGCTACAGTGTCCGTGACTAGTAACTGACCAGTAAATCCTCGCTACAGTGTCCGTGACTAGTAACTGACAAGTAAATCCTCGCTACAGTGTCCGTGACTAGTAACTGACCAGTACATCCTCGCTACAGTGTCTGTCAAGTAACTGACCTATACATCCTCGCTACAGTGTTTGTGACTAGTAACTGACCAGTAAATCCTCACAACAGTGCCTGTCTAGTAACTGACCAGTAAATCCTCGCAACAGTGCCTGTCTAGTAACTGACCAGTACATCCTCGCTACAGTGTCTATCTAGTAACTGACCAGTACATCCTCGCTACAGTGTCCGTTACTAGTAACTGACCAGTACATCCTCGCTACAGTGTCCGTGACTAGTAACGGACCTACAGTGTTTGCCGCCAGTAACTGAGTAGTTAGTCCTCGCTACAGTGTCCTTGACTATTAACTGACCAGTCTGTTCTGGCATCCAGTGTCCGTTTTTAACATGCATGCACACTTCATCATATTAATTTTCCGGGTCGATATCAAAAACAGGATTTTTCTACATTTTGAGCTGTTTTTCTTTAAATATTTTTTTTAAGTATGTCGGTGTTGAATTTGATTTACATTGTTTAGTACTTGAAACAGCGAATGTCATAAGTATGAAAACGGTTTTGACAGATGATGGTCAACGCGTCTATTGAAACATCTCCTAAAAAAAATTTATGTCAAAGAGCATTGGTTATAGGCTTCATCACATGTTAAAGGAGGTTCTGTAAATCCGTATAATGTGTATGAAGGTGGTTGTGTTGGAACTGGTGCAGGCCATGTTTTAGTGATTGCTACAGTCCTCACATTGAGTTTTGTATTGTAAAAACATGGATCATACACACTGCTGATTGCTGTTCCATATTGTAAGTCAAGCTTACATTACACGTGAGGAATGTGAACAGGAGACGACTCGTATTACCTGTTATCTACGGTGGTTTATCACGTCCATTGACAGTGGTACATACATAATGTACCTCAGATCCAACAACCCAACTCTCAAGATAACTGACAGTGTTACCTACCTCAGATCCAATAACCCAACTCTCAAGTTAACTGACAGCGATAACTTCTTCAGACCCAACAACCCAACCCTCAAGTCAACTGACAATGTTACATGATAGTGTTATTTACCGTAGACTCTCTATTCCTTTTCACTTTTTCACGTCCACTGACAGATTTACTTACCCCAGACCCACTGTCCAATCCAAATAATCCAATCACTGACAGTAACACATACCTTAGACGTAAGAACCCCACTATCCCGTCCAATCATTACCTTTAACATCTACCACAGACGTTAAAAACCCACTATAACGTCCAACCACTACCAGTAACAACTACTTCAGACTTAACAAACCCACTATAACGTCCAACCACTACCAGTAACAACTACCTCAGACTTAACAACCCCACTATAACGTCCAACCACTACCAGTAACAACTACCTCAGACGTAACAACCCCACTATCACGTGCAATCACTTACAGTAATATTTACCTCAGACCTAACAACCCCCTTCCCCTTTCACGTCCAATCACTGACTGTAACAACTACCTCAGACATAATAACCACTATCACGTCCAATCAGTAACAGTTGAATTTACGCCAGATTAAAAACCTCTACTATCACATTTCGATGCTGAAAGAATTGTACCCAAATTTTTACAACATAAACAAAGTTTTTACTGCGCAATCTTTTGAATACTGTTAACAGGGGCGGGTCCAGGTGAGGGCGTAATGGGCGTACACGCCCCCCCCCCCCCCCCCCCCCCCCNAATTTATCATATTCATTAATTAAACACATACTCTGATTTCTTTTTATATGCTCCAAGTCAGGAACCGTTACATTAGTGCATTTCACAATTATTTTATGTTTTTTAGCAATAAAAAGGTCCAATTTTTTTAACCTCGCACCGCTCGGCGAAAGATTAGATTCTACGCCCTCTTTCAAATATCCTAGAAACGCCAATGGTTAAAAATATAGAGGGACATTTTTCTTATTCAGCTCTAATTCAGCATTGTTAACGACATTTCATGTGTAATAGTATCTATTGTAGCTAATTACTAGCTCATCCCGCCCTACGTTAACCATTACATAGTAGCTAGTCCAGTATGCAGGCCGTGTACCTATACAATCATGACATATACACGTATATATGTGGACACGTGTCGATTTAGACGACTTATATGATGAGTCGCAGGTGCAGATCGAGAAGGTGGGTTTGGGATTTTTTTTGTAGCGGGAGAAGGGAAGGGAGAGGAGCTGGTCGTGTGCGTGGTATTGCGTGGTATGTTTTGTGTATGAAAATTAACGTGGTTAATGTGCCCGTAAAATTGTGATACGTTACCCTCAATTGTATTGGACAGAATTTTAATATAACCAGTCAAGACATTATTTGATAAACGTTTCTATATATTGGCGATGCCACAATCACAAACGTTAAGCCCGTTTGTTACATTGCAAATATCAATCCTACTCCAATCCCAAACCACAAACATATGTAAGTTTAAATGAACATCCTAGATGGTCAGTGTCAACTCATTCTACGCTAGTTTCACCTTCTTCCTCCATACCTCACCACCGCTTGCTCACAAGCTACAAACTCGCTCAACCAGTACCAATTATAAAACAGATACTGCACGTGATCTTACTCATATATCAATCCTTCTGATTAAAACAATTGGTTTAACAACTTCCTATCCAGTGCCCAAGTTTTGTGACATTCAATTGCTCCATGACGTCGACAGTGTTTTAGTTCAACACCAATACGGGGATAGTTGACCTACCGTTAGGACTGTCATTGGAAGTCCATACTCCATGCCTCCATGGAGACGAAATCCCCAGGACATCCCGGAGTCCGCCCTGTTCATTCGTATGGTCAGTCGTTGGGCCATGGTCAGTTGGAAGTATCCTCTCCTCTGTCACTACTCACTAGAAAATCCCGCACTCTCCTTGCCCCACGTCACATGTGGTAGGTATATACCCCACCAATTAGTACAAGGCCAGACCAATAATCGTTAGTGTTCTGTTCCGAGGCAGCTACTGTACGCCTGCTAACCTACCGAGACGCTCGGAGCTCTTCTAATGTCATTTAGTGTAGAGTTTACTTCTAGTAGAGGCACCGCTAAGTGACAGCTATTTTCCCCAATGTACCCGTGTACACTAGTCCAGTTTTTAGTTTATAGTGCTAACTGTGTCAGTTAATATGTGACTAGGGAGAAGAATACGCAGGCATTTGCTCAGGGTCGCCAATAATTACTGTTGGCCAATTATGTAATTCAAGAGGTCACATCTTTTAAGTTTGATGTAAGAGAGAATCCCTTATTTCTAGTAGACATAAAGTTTAACAAACTACCATTGATTTATCTGACGGAGGTGGTGTCCAATAGACGGAGCTCTATGACTCGGGGAGAAGATTTTTGTATATACCAGGGGGCGCCACTCATTGCAGTTTGTTCACTCATTGTCGATGATTGGTTTTATACAAAAAGGCGATACTCATTGCTGATGATAGTGGTTTATACCAATGCGCGCCATTTATTGCTGATGACGGGGTTTTATACCAGAGGGCGCCACTTATTGCTGATGATGGGGTTTTATACCAGAGGGTGCCAAGTATTGCTGATGACGGGGTTTTATACCAGAGGGTGCCACTTATTGCTGATGGTGGGGTTTTATACTAGAGGGCGCCACTTATTGTTGATGACGGGGTTTTATACCAATGCGCGCCATTTATTGCTGATGACGGGGTTTTATACCAGAGGGTGCCACTCATTGCTGATGACGGTGGTTTTTTTTTACCAGAGGGCCACCTATTGCTATTGAATAAGTTTTATACCAGAGGGCATTATCATGGCTGATGATTTGGTTTGATACCAGAGGACGCCATTAGCTAGTGTTAGAGGGTATTTATACTAGAGGGCCCCTCTCAATGTAAACAAAAGGAATCGTTACACGAGTATACCCCCCATTGCTGTCGAAGGATTATTTTACCTGGAGGCAGAACTCATACATGTAACTAGTGGAATTTTGTTTATAGAAGAAACTACTCATTGTTAACTATAGGCTTCACAAGAGGGGATATCAATATGGGACCGTCTGTCTGTCACTTTGACTAAAGTTCTTCTGTGTTTTTTTTTTTAAACTTTTAAACCCTATATATTTAAGTTTCGCTCTTGTGTCGATTTCGCCTCCTTGTTCTGGGGCGAAAAGTGAGAAATTATAATGGGTGAAATATTTTCCATTATTTAATATAGATTTCCTAGAATTTGTTTACATTCTGTTCCTTAGCCGTCGTATCTTCTTATCACTGTAACAAAACGGAACATTATTTGGCTTGGTCTTAGAACGGCATGTGTACATCAGCTGTAGGCAGACGATACTGTTCCATTGACAATCGGCCCGACGCCATTTTGTACGGTGGAACCGTTTGATCCGCACTCACCGATTATTACCAAGCGGCGGGGGTGATGTCAGACAATGTAACAGCTAAGTTGTCGCACCAGCGGTAGTGGTTTACAATACACCGTAACATCAGTATCTACGGTGTTGCAGGGGAGCTATGCGGGTTTAGCTTCGTGTTACAAAGTATGGCAGCTGTATTCTGCGGTGTGACGTTGTTCAAGTGATCATGAAAAATCACTGCATTGGGCGCAACAAGTAATGTAGATTACAGATACAAGGGAACACGAACGCGGCCAAAAGTATCTCCTGCCATGTGTCCATTTGGGTTTTTATTTTCACCCGCTCTCTTTTTTTCCTTGCTTCTTTCTTTCAATATTTTGCTTTTTGTATCGATGATTGGAATTTGCAAAGTGAGGAAGGTCATTAATTCTGTTCCCTGACCGAGACAAACCGGAGTTGTTGAAATTGGTACATGACGTTCAGCAAGAAGGGATGGCGGTAGTGACTATTTCTGTATAATAAACGCTGTTGTAATATATCAAGTAGGTTTACTCGTTTGTTTAGGTTTTAACGTTCTCGTAACAGCAAAGGTCATGTGAAGACGGCGTCCATTGATGGTTGGGCCACTCGAGGACAGTTTTATCTGACTGAAATGTCATGTGACCTGATCACGGTGACTCTACCTCCCTCGGGTGGCTCAGTGGACATGCGTCTTTGATCCGAGTGTGAAATCGAAATATGTCATCAACTATATACAGTCATGGTTTACGATTTAATACACAGTTCGTTTATATTGACAAGTACTCATATAAGCTTTAACACAGGAAGAACTCGCTAAATTGATATTTACTTTTCACATAATTTATTTTCCATCCACATGACGTCGATATATATCCACAAAATATTCTTTTCACAATTCCTACTCTAGCTCCATTTCAACCATTAAGTCTTCGTAACGAACACCACCCAAGTCCATCCCAAGTCCATACCTATGCCACATATTGTTGCAAAGTTGCAGGTTTAGTGACGCCATATTTGGGTATAGCACCACTTTGTGGTAGATATATGTGCTTTACGTATGTAACATTACGTGACGCTTGTTATTTCTTGATACTCTGACGACGCGTGTTAAAGCAGGACATGTTCATGCTGATATGCGTTATAGCTCCACATTATGACGCCTTTTCCAGAATTATTTGATGTATATGTTCGTTGACAACTGCGTTCATTTAAACAATAACTGGTTGTCTGGATGTAATTATTGTTGACATAATTACAAGTGGCCTCTGGCAAATCTACGATAAAACCCTAGCGGGTTTTATGGGATTTGCCAGAGGCCACTTGTAATTATATCAACAATAATTACATCCAGACAACCAGGTATTTTTTATATTTACATATTTTTCTTTTTAAGACATATTCCTACAAAAACCATTTGCCCTGCCTCAAAATACATTTCAGGCGGCCATTTTGTTTGTTTACATATTCCTACACCTGAAACAGGCAGTTGTAATTATAGTCGAGCAGTTGTAATTATAGCCTATATAATTACACTTGCCCTCTAACACTGTTGTAATGGGTCGGCGCGGGGGCAAATGTAAATATACCACCGTATACGCCGTCAAAATGAAATTCAATCCTTAAATGTAACGTCATGCGTTATAATATTACCTTACGTTGTGTGTACATGTAGTAATATTACATTGTCTTACAGCATTACCTGACGGCGTTGTTGTGTCTTACAGCATTACCTGACGGCGTTGTTGTGTCTTACAGCTTTACCTGATGGCGTTTTTGTGTCTTACAGCATTATCTGACGGCGTTCGGCTCCACTATATCTGTGCCATTGGTCCTGTATAAGGCGCTCTGTGTAGCGGAGGACAGGATTGGACTAGGGGAACTCATCAACACTATCTTCTTTGTGTCCGGTATTTGCACACTTTTGCAGACTACGTTTGGAATCAGGTAAAACGTCATTCATGATGTCATTCTTACATTGCGAAACACGACTTTCCTCGTGTTGGTCTATGTGCACTCCTATAGACTGCACCAGCGTCATGTACAACGTCACTCTTGACGTCACCGACGCACGTGCACGCTTTGGCTATTACTTTTAATGATGTGCAGTCTATTTCTTTATTAATATTTATTCATAATAGTTATATCAAATAAATATATGATATCAATGATCTGCTTTAAACTGTTTACATCCCATAATGGGTATTTTATGATGCATTTGTTACAGATTACCGATCATACAGGGCGCTACGTTCGCGTTCCTTGTCCCTACTCAGTCTATCCTGGCCTTACCGCAGTGGTCGTGTCCCTACACAGAAGCTGAAAAAGGTACGTCTCCTAGACATTTCACCAGGTCCTCGGCAACGTTTCTCAACCCGAGAACGCCTGTCGTGGCGATAAAGGAAGTGATAAAATCCCCAGACTGGTCACTTTAACTCCGAATATGAATTACTGCCCAGGCGTAAGACATGGTATAAACCCAAGCGCGAAAAACAATTCTGCACCCAACTTATCAACTATTTAGAACCCACTTATACCTCCAATATCAAGGGGAAATTGCAACTGGACAAATGGAAATCTCAAATAAACACAACTGTGTCTGTGTCTGATTAGACTCCATGTCATCAATGACTGAAAGCTGAAAACAGTCCAAGGCTTATCTTTACCATCATTCTGTTTAATCTCGTTGTGCGAGTTTTATCGCTATGTTTCCAATTTTCGACGCGTTTTGTTAAGGAGTGACCAGTTCTGGAACAGCATACAGCGCTAGCCAAATCAGTGACAAAATAATGACGTTAACGATTGGGTCCTGTCATTCATAGTGATATGAAAACCATATAAATGTCGTTATATATATATTTCGTGGCATTGCTATACATTTGTTGCATATAAATTCCACCATAATGTTTGTCTCGTTTAATTTTGGATACTAGGTCTGGTGAATTTGACTGACCTCCCCAACTATGGTAGTCCCGAGCACAGAGAGATCTGGTACTCCAGACTTAGGGAGGTAACGTATGCTTACTCAAACCGTAATGTATTATTACGTCATCTTAACTCAGAAATATACTGCGTGGAATGATTGATAACGTACTTTGCACGTGCTGATTTCGTACTGTATACGAACTGTGTACGTGAGGTGTATGTGCGATGCAGTACTTGCTAAATATTTGCTGTGTTGTACTGTGTATGCACGACGTACATGAATTGGGATGAACGTGCTGTGTTCGTGTTGTTTACGTGCTGTGTTCGTGCTGTAAACATACTGTGAAAGTGCTGTGAACTTGCGATGTACGTGGTGCGTTCATGCTGTAAACTTACTGTGAAAGTGCTGCGAACGTGCTGTGTTCGTGTTGATTACGTGCTGTGTTCATGCTGTGAACAACGTACTGTGAAAGTGCTGTGGACGTGCGATGTACGTGCTATGGATGTTCTGTAACTTAAGACAGCATACGTTTTATACATGTCATATTAGGCCCATTGTCCTTAGAAGGCTAGTTATAAAATTACAGTAATAAACAACATAGACATTAGATAGGAATGAAAATTGTTTTCAAAGATGTCACGTGCCTGTTTCAGATCCAAGGAGCCATCATGGTCGCCTCGCTGTTCCAGGTTGTGATCGGCTTCAGTGGCGCTGTAGGCGTTGTGTTGCGCGTGATTGGCCCTCTGGCAGTCACTCCCACCGTTACGCTGATTGGTCTATCGCTGTTTCCAGCTGCTGCCAATCTGGCGTCGGAGCAGTGGTATATCGCCCTGATGTGAGTGACGTACCTGTCACGTGGTAACGCATGCGCTATCATCACTTGTTAAGCATCGTTCTGCATAGTAAATAGTCGATGGATGGACATTTATTGAGACACATTTTATGTCTCCATGTCAACAGTGACGTAAACATATCGCTATGTGCGATTAAGATACAAATCATCATGTTGTCAATGAATATACTTTTCAGAAATGAAACGTCAACAGAACGTTAGCCTGAGTTCAGCGCAATTTTAGAGAGTTAGAGATTGCTAATAACATACAGCATTAAAAAGTAAAGGAACTTAAACTTGTTAATTTTTCTTACAGGACTATGTTTTTGATAGCACTATTTTCTCAGTATCTGCGTGAGGTCAACATACCGGTATGTCAGTACCAGCGGGGAAAGGGGTGTGGCACGTACAAACTTCCAATCTTCAAACTCATACCAGTAGGTAACCATTAGACTATTTCGTATTGTATGATAAGTCATTCCTGTGTTTATTATTTTCTTGATCATTTAGCTGCCTAGGTGTCTAACAATTCGATGACAAGATTCAATAACCAGAGGCCGTATTCATGAATCCGTTCTCATGCTTAAGCATGCATTTTGTACTCAAACCAAATTTCTGGTAACTCACATAAAGCATATAACACTTTCAACAAGTCAAGTCCAGACATTCGGACATTAAAAACGGTACTTGGCTATATATCTCTCAAGAACGTTATCTTCGGGATAAAAAAACTGGGCATGGACACCGAGTCTGAATTTTAGCGTGAAAACGGTTTCATGATTACCCGACCTTGGCCCTTATTCATGAAGCTGTTCTTATGGTCAAACTCAGATTCTGTACTCAAGTCCAATTTCTTGTTCCAGTGATTTAAGCAATGAATGTTTAAGCAAATTATATTATGGTCCTATAACACACATTCCTATAGCACACATTGCTATTGATGACAAACTAAATAAAGCCTGGCAGGACTTTATGTAAGCTTGTCAGCAATAGAAATTTGTGTTATAGGGCCATAACAATATTTGTTAAAATATTCGTCATTTATAGTTACAATTTAATAGAGTATACATTTACGCGTTATTTAGTTATTTCAAACCATTGTTTGAACAAAATATTTTAAAAGTCCTTACAACAATGAAATTGATGACGTCACAATAGATATTGATGACGTTGCAATAGCAAATGTTGTTATAGTCTCATAACAACATTCGCCTTCTCAATGCAATGCAATGCAATGCAATGAAAGGATGCAGAGCAAATGTAAATATATAGATTGATCACATGTATGATAGTTGTGTTCATGTTTTGTGATCTCGTGAATTCTTGACGTCGGTGTTACTGTTCATGATGATGATGACGTCTTACTGTGTCGACGTTCTGTAGGTGCTATTGGCGATGGTGGTGGCGTGGGGAATCTGTGCTATACTGACGGCGGCGGGAGCCTTCCCCGACGAAAGTACAGGCTGGGGATACAAAAGTCGAACCGATACCAAGATCAGCGTCATCTCAGACGCTCAATGGTTCCGCTTCCCTTATCCAGGTAAGTTCAGACGCTCAGTGGTTCCGCTCCTCTTACCCAGGTACATGTAAGCTCACATTTTCAATGGTTCTGGTTCCCTTATCCAGGTATGTCCAGGCGCCTAGTGGTTACACAACACTTACCCAGGTAATATCGGACGCTTATTGGTTCCGCTTCCCTTACCCAGGTAATCTCGGATGCGTATTGGTTCCGCTTCCTTTACCCAGGTAAGATCAGTGGTTCCGCTTCCTTTACCCATGTAAGCTCAATGGTTACACTTCCCTTACCCAGGTAGGCTCGGACGCTCATTGGTTCCGCTTCCCTCACCTAGGTTATATCGGATGTATATTGGTTCCGCTTCCTTAACCTTGGTAAGCTCAGTGGTTACGGCTCACTTACCCAGGTAAGCTGAGACGCTCACTGCTTCCGCTTCCCTTATACAAGTAAGCTTGACGTCAAGGTAGGCCTCAAATGTTCCCGAAACGTCGTCAAAGACGACGAAAATCTACATCTTTTACCTTTCTCCGTCACTCTTGATACAAGATACCAATTGCTCATGTATGAGCTTTTGTGTTGGACTTGAAACACATCGCAATCAGTGACTTTTATTGTATATTAAAAACAATGAAATAGATGTGTAAATAGGCTACAATTTCAGATTCATCCTTAGAGACCCTTTTGTACATATAATATATAAAATTCAAACGTGTAATCAACAATGTAAGAAAACTAAGGACTTTTAACGATGATTCTTTTCTTAACATAAGTAACACACGTAAAACCGGAAGGAATATTTCTTTTTATCGTTACGATTTTAACTATTGTATGTAGTATGACATTATGACGGCTCAGTGAAAAGTATTGAATATCGGAGTTATTCCCCTTGTGTTGGCAGGCCAGTGGGGTGTCCCGACTGTGAGTTTTGCTGGAGTGTTCGGAATGTTAGCGGGAGTTCTGGCGTCCATGATGGAGTCTGTTGGGGATTACTACGCATGTGCAAGACTATCCGGAGCACCGCCCCCTCCGGTACACGCTGTCAATAGAGGTACGTGGACTAAAACCACAGTTATTTACTTCCGGGTTCAGAGTTCAGCACTGAGAAAATAAAGATATATGTGCTGCAGAGATAGTGTCTCTATGTCAGCTAGAACTGGTTGTTCTCAAACATTATAATGCCAGATTGTAAACATGTATTAACCTTTAGATTCTTTTTAAAACATGTAGCTCACTTCAAAATTCTCATACCGGAAGTCACGTTTGTGACTTACCTCTTTCGGCGCACAGACAACTGCTTCAATATTTCTATCGTCTCAAACTATTTGGTCGTGTTATTTCAGGTATCGGAATGGAGGGTATTGGTTGTATCCTGGCCGGCGCGTGGGGGTCAGGGAACGGCACTACGTCATACAGTGAGAATGTTGGAGCTATCGGCATCACCAAGGTAACCGAAACCCATGTGATCAGTAAGGTAAAAAAAAAGTGTCCCAATCATAATAAAGAAATAAAAAGTCCCGTTGGTACAGTAGACTATTGACCGTATGATTCTTATACATGCTGTATTAATGCTGTATTTTTTTCTACCATGATCAGGTTGGCAGTCTCCGTGTTGTGCAGGTTGGGGGCATAATCATGATATTACTCAGCTGTTTCGGAAAGTTCGGCGCCCTTTTCGTCACCATCCCAGACCCAGTAATAGGCGGAGTGTTCATGATAGTTTTTGGTAAGGTCACGCAAACTCACAAAGTACAAAGCTACATTGTAAGTCCCATTCACCTCTGTAAATGGCCCACGGGCCGCATCATTTGATATCACATTTATTGTTAGTTTATGGTAAAAAGATGGCGGAATTCGGAAATGACATGAGGCGTTACTCTAGGGAAGTATCTGCAATCAAGTTGGTTAGAACGGTCTAGATTCCAACCTTAGGTTATTGTGTTTGAGTACTTGTTTATCTCCAGGTTTACACATATTGTTTTGTCCATCCCCTGACTACACCACTGTATACAAATTGTATGCCTGAATTTTTTTTTGTAATTAACATATTCTTTATTGAGCCCCGGTTGATACTATGCAAAGAAAATGTTGTCACCTTATCTGTTTTCCGATAGCTGTCCATCTTCCGATAATTTATTTATCTTGTACTGTATAGTAATTTAAAGCATTATACTGTCCATTTATAGGTACTATATATATATACATGCGATGTAGAAGATTATGCTTCATTCATGATGTTATAATGATTTGGTATTTCATATCACTGATATGCTTATGAGCCGTAGGGCTTCAAGTTGAATATGAGGGACCGTAATGCATTCCAGAGATATTGTTTACAAGGGTCATATTGATTTTTTATAGTTCACAGGGTCACACATACACCAGGTCACATAGTTAACGGGGTCAGATCGATTATATAGTTTACAGGATCATACCGGGCCATACACGATATAAGGGTTACACGAACACAAGGTCAAACAGTTCACAGAGGTCATGCAGATATATACACTTCATATAGTTTCATGGGGTTACAACATTCACATGTGAGATAACAGACATGTGATTGTTAGTTGCATGTTGATGGTGAGACAACGACCGTGTTATTGTTATATAATATACAATTATTGACCTATTTTCAGGTGAATACGAGGATTTATTAACCAGAGAAGGTGATATTTCCCGAGGCCGGTAAAAAATATTGATAAATCCTCTATTCACCTGCAAATAGGTCAATAACTGTTTTATCATATGACATTTTTATAAACTTAACCATGTGTAGCACCAATCCATACTTCGCATATTTCGCCATGATTATGGCACCTGCAATGAAATTCTGCCTAAACAGAATATGTGTCTGTGCAATTAGAATGGCCTTATATGAGCTGTTAGTAAGATCAGAAATACCCTACTGGTAATGTGAGGAAATGTGAGAAACTCAACAAATTTACTATTTATTTAATTTAACAATTTATATGCATTGAAAGTAAACTTTAAAGGTAAAAATACAGTACAGTGTAACGGTAATGCTCGAGTAGTCCCAATTATTCTGACGTTTTATCGACTTTTTTCATATCGGTCTGTCGTCGATTAACGTCAGAACTCCGGCCCTCTATAATATGCGGGAAATATGCGACCCGTGCCCGGAGCGCACTTCAAACTGATATTTTAGAAACAAATCGTCACTTTCACACACATGTCTCACATTGATCGAAAGATCTATTCTTTTTTGCACAAGATGAACATAGATTACATGCCTCAAACAACCAATACAATCACTAAAAACATATTTTTTCAAACTTACTCTGTTTTACTCTAGTTTTTTGATAGCCCCGCCTTCTAATGCCACGTGACTAAAATCTTTCGTCTGCCATTTTCTCTCCAGTGAGGCAACGACAATCCGTGCTTCTGATTGGTCAAAAATTGCAGCACAGGTTACTAGATTGTAATATTCACCCGTGAGGCGCCCGACGGGGTTTTGGACTGTTATATTCACCTCGCATGCACGGATTCTGTAGGTTTCGGGGTAACATCGCAATATATTTAGACCTATAAGAGGTGTTTTGACCAATCAGTGTGAGGGGAAAATGACAGTTATATAATAGCACGTAATATAACATATCTGTCATTGTTATATTACATGTGAGATAACAGTCGTGTTATTGCGTATATTACAGGTTAAATAACGACTTTCTATATATTATATTGAAGGTAACAGCTTATTTGTCTTAGTGTTAAAACTATATCTGAGACCACAGTCGTTTTATTGTTTTGTTACAGGTATGCTATCGTTTGTTATTGTGATATACGTGTATTGAAGGTGATATAAAGTTTGTGTTGTCGTTAATTTACAGGTATTAACTTTTGTTAATGGTATGTAACAGGTAAGATAACATTTGCTTAATTATCTTACAGGTATGATAACATATTTTGTTATAATATTACAGGTATGATACCATATTGTGTTATTATATTACAGGTATGATAACATGTTTTGTTATTATATTACAGGTATGATAACATATTGTCTTATTATATTACAGGTATGATAACAGCAGTGGGACTGTCAAACCTGCAGTATGTCGACATGAGTTCATCACGTAATATATTTATAGTAGGAATATCGCTATTCTTCGGGCTGTCTTTTCCCTACTGGATGGCAAATCACAGCAATGTCATCAATACCGGTATGTAGTGTATTGGAATGAGCATTTTTATCGGTAAGACAGGGGTGACGATACAAGGTTTTACTAAACCAGTACAACTTTACTGGGGCATTTTTAAATTGTACATAGGATTACGGCCGTCTCCTAGCTTTGAGCTAGAGGGAATTTCCCGTTAGCTCAGTGGTAGAGCGTCCAACTAGGAAGTATGGAATCGCGGGTTCGATCCCCGGTGGATCAAGCACAAATGTAAACAGACACAGTTGGTATATGTACATGTATCTGTCTTTGAAGAGGTACACTTAGTTTTTAGTTCTTGGCGATTGTTGCTGTTCCACTTTACGATATTTCTACATGTATACAATTTCAGCAAATTCCAATATGGTCGGGATTAGAGTACAGTAATTCCAGGAGCGTTGGAGTTGATTCCCTTCTCTATGCTTTAAACACCATGTCAACTATTGTGACTATTAGACTCACGACAATGTCGAAAATGAAAGCACACACCCCCACCCCAACCCCCACCTGTCCCTTTTTTATACGCTCGTCAAATTTGACGGGAGTATTATGGTATGGCGTCGTCCGTTCGTCCGTCCGGCGTAAATTTTTGTTTGTCCGGATATCTCCTCCTACATTTTTCTACCGATCTCTTTGAAACTTGGTATTCATTATAATCATGATATGAAGTTGTGTTTCCCCAAAAAGAATTTTGATGCGACTATTCTTGCAAAAGTTACATGTAATGCTCTTTGTTTATTTCAGTATTTGATTTTTGGTCCGGAGATCTCCTCTTAAATGTTTTGAACGATTTCTTTGAAACTTGGTAGGCTTTATAATCATGATATGAAGCTGTGTTTCCATGGAAAGAAGTTTGATTCAACTATTTTTGCAAAAATTATTTCCCTTTGTTTATTTCAATATTTGTTACGATTTCTTTGAAACTTGTTAGGCTTTATTATCATGACATGTTGTTGTGTTTCCATGAAAAGAAATTTCATTTGACAATTTTTGCAAAAGTTATTTCCCTTTGTTTATTTCAATATTTGTTACGATTTCTTTGAAACTTGGTAGGTTTTATAATCATGATATGAAGTTGTGTTTGCACAAACAGAATTTTGATTTTGCAAACGTGATTGCCCTTTGTTCATTTCAGTACTTGATTTTTGTCCGGCGATTTCCTCCTACATTTTTCTACCGATCTCTTTGAAACTTGGTATTCATTATAATCATGATATGAAGTTGTGTTTCCCCAAAAAGAATTTTGATGCGGCTATTCCTGCAAAAGTTACATGTAATGCCCTTTGTTTATTCAGAATTTGATTTTTGGTCCGGAGATCTTCTCTTACATGTTTTGAACGATTTCTTTGAAACTTGGTAGGCTTTATAATCATGATATGAAGTTGTGTTTCCATGAAAAGAAGTTTGATTCAACTATTTTTGCAAAAGTTATTTCCCTTTGTTTATTTCAATATTTGTTACGATTTCTTTGAAACTTGTTAGGCTTTATTATCATGACATGTTGTTGTGTTTCGATGAAAAGAAATTTCATTTGACAATGTTTGCAAAAGTTATTTCCCTTTGTTTATTTCAATATTTGTTACGATTTCTTTGAAACTTGGTAGGCTTTATAATCATGATATGAAGTTGTGTTTGCACAAACAGAATTTTGATTCGATTATCTTTGCAAACGTGATTGCCCTTTGTTCATTTCAGTATTTGATTTTTGTCCCGAGATTTCCTCCTGCTTTTTTTCGACCAATTTCTTTGAAACTTGGAAATCGTTATAGTCACGATATATAGTTATGTTTCTTCGAAAAAAAAATGATTCTACTATTTTGCCGAAGTTATTGCCCTTACTTTATTTCTCGTACTTGAATCTCGTCCGGAGATCTCCTTCTACAGTTTTCTATCGATTTCTTTGAAACTTGGTAGGATTTTTAATCATGATATCAAGTTGTGTTTAATGAGTTGGAGACTTATCTTTTGATTACTTGTTTTCCTTAAACTGTTGGAAAATTAAAGAAAATCGGACATTGACTTTGTAATGAAAGGTGCTATTTATAGCATGCTAGCTAGCCACTCTTAAGGTGATGCAAATCTTATTTCAATGCAAGATAATATATAACACTATATGGCATTCGACGGGCGTATATTGTTCCGCCCTGCGGTACTCTTGTTATACTATGACAGAAAACTCAAATTCGTTCCTTTTTCATCAAAGTTTTTTTTTTATGAAACTCACCACAACTCCTTTAAAAATCACTGTACTGTTGACACTGTTTCCATGCGGCACTGTGTGTCAATATATGGTATACGTAACGTAAACACACAGACGTCTGTATATCTTCTGTTTTAGGACTAAATGGTACTCTTGTGATACAATTAAATACACAATGTGTTACAAAGTAATATTTTGAATTGTTTTCACAGGAAGTGATATCGTAGACCAGATAATGACAGTTCTCCTCAGCACGAGCATGCTTGTTGGTGGAGTGCTTGGATTTGTGTTAGATAACACCATACCCGGTAAGTGTTGTAACAGTATACTCCCGTCAAACCGAAATACCCGGTAAGTGTTGTAACAGTATTCTCCCGTCAAACCTAAATACCCGGTAAGTGTTGTAACAGTATACTCCCGTCAAAACTAAATACCCGGTAAGTGTTGTAACAGTACCTCCCGTCAAACCTAAATACCCGGTAAGTGTTGTAACAGTATACTCTCGTCATACCTAAACTTAAATACCCGGTTAGTGTTGTAACAGTATACTCCCGTCAAACCTAACTACCCGGTAAGTGTTGTAACAGTTCCTCCCGTCAAACCTAAATACCCGATAAGTGTTGTAACAGTATACTCCGGTCAAACCTAAATACCCGGTAAGTGTTGTAACAGTATACTCCCGTCAAACCTAAATATCCGGTAAGTGTTGTAACAGTATACTCTCGTCAAACCTAAACTTAAATACCCGGTTAGTGTTGTAACAGTATACGCCCGTCAAACCTAAATACCCGGTAAGTGCTGTAACGGTATACTCCCGTCAAACCTAAATACCCGATAAGTGTTGTAACAGTATACTCCCGTCAAACTTAAATACCCGGTAAGTGTTGTAACAGTATACTCCCGTCAAACCTAAAAACCCGGTAAGTGCTGTAACAGTATACTCCCGTCAAACATAAATACCCGATAAGTGTTGTAACAGTATACTCCCGTCAAACATAAATACCCGGTTAGTGTTAAAACAGTATACTCCCGTCAAACATAAACTTAAATGCTCGGTTAGTGTTATAACGGTATACTCTCGTCAAACATAAACTTAAATACCCGGTTAGTGTTGTAACAGTATACTCCCCCCGTCAAACATAAACTTAGATACCCTTGATTGTATTTCCACATGTGACGATCCGTGTCTGACCAATAGATAAATTTTACTTCCGTTCAATGTCTCAATAAAGAAGTCTATCGAAAGTCATGATGAATGTAACAAACTGAAGGAAAAAGCCATTAACCTATTGATCTAGATTGTTTCAGGAGATATTTAATAACCGGTTATGACATAATAGCAGGGTTTTTTGGAACAGCAGTAATTTACTTGGGCAATCAAGTTCCTGACCTCGATTGTATTGTCTGATGATCCTAGTGCTTGTACTGTAGTTGAAACATGTCGTTGCTGTAAAGTGACCAAGGTTTAAAAACCAAAATGGCGTCTCGCCGATATTTGTTTATGGTCTACTTTGTGGCCTTCAGAATTTCTTCTATACAATAACGATACTTAACGTTTTAGCTATTGTTTATTATTGTTGTTTGATTGGTATTTTCCGGTGATCTGGTATGTTCGTGTGCGTATATTTCTGTTACTGTAAACGTGGTTATTTACGCTGGGTGAAAATTACGCGATGTGAAGGTCAAAACTATACGCGCGGGGGTAATTTACGTGGTCGGGGAAGATCGACTCTACCGAGTTATTTCCCTTACTTTACAAAATGTGTACAGGTAAAAATACTAGTAGCTACTGAGTACATGTAACGTATGCCTACCGACTGGTCATTGGAAAGATGAGTATTTGGTATTTACAGAAGAAGCTAACAAAGTTTTCTTTGAATTAACGAGTATTCCCCTTAGATGTTATTCCCTCTTCCCTTTCTCATAGGTACACCAGAAGAGCGAGGTCTGACAAAATGGCGCAGCCAGGATGTTAGCTCTTCCAGTAACACGGCTGGTCTGTCGGTGTACGACTTGCCACTGATACAACCTCTCCTAGATAAGATGTCTTGGCCGAAATACATCCCGTTCTGTCCAAGGTTTGATTCATCAGTTTGTTCCTGTCGTGACAAGACCAATAAAGACCACTCTCATGGCTACACTCATCAAACAGACGACCAAAAAGGCGACACCATTGGAAAGAACGTCGGATTTGAAAACGACGACACACGTCTTTGACAGCCGTGTCCAAAGTAGTATAACTTGCGTTCCTATATCTGCTTTAGGCGATCAAACAAGAACATCAAGTAATTAATATCTGCTAACCTTGAATGCAAGAAATGTGTTGAATCGACACAGATATACTTATAACTGGCTTCCGATTTGTGTTTTGATGATAGAATTACTACAGAAGTGTAGCTTCATACAGTGTGAAATGCCCTCAAATCTCTACAAGTACCTGTCGTCACAAGAGAACAGAGACATTATGACATATAATAGTATCTGGGTAAATGCTAGTGTGATGCGAAAAGTTGAAAGACTGAAGATCCATACCATAACGTGTCTCCTAACCAAACTTAACACCGCATCACAAACAATGTTAGACATATCCCAGAGTACAAGAGTTTTGTTGTCGGTTTTATTGTTATACAGTGTAACGCAATAATATACACAGCCGTTGTTATAACGCCAGTTCACACCTTGTTATTTTTTGAAATGCGACATAAAAATGTGGTTATCTTTATTACGCGACATCATATCGTGGTTACTTTTATAACGCGATATCATGATGTGAATATTTTCATAGCACGACATCATGATGTGGTAACCTTTATAACGCGACATCAAACTGCGGTTATTTTTTTAACGCGACATCATATTGTGGTTATTTTTATAACGCGACATCATAATGTGGTTATTTTTATAACGCGACATCAGATTTTGGTTATATATTAACGAGTCATCATGATATGGTTATTTTATATCGCGACATCATACCCCGACATCATACCCCGGTAATTTTTCTAACGCGACATCATACGTCGGTAATTTTTCTAACGTGACATCTTACTGCGGTTATTTTTCTAAAGCGAAAGACAAAAGTGTTTATGTTATAGCTCGACGTTATAAGTCAGTGTTTTTTCATAAAGTAGTTCAAAACATTCGACCAGACACTGAGCAACTGACGTAAAACGATCGGACAATGATAAGTAACTGATACCTGCCCCCTGTGTAATGAGCCAAGTAAACAAGGTTGATACCATTAATCATGTTAACATAGTTTTATCCTGTACATATTAAAATGTAATTTTTCATCATGCTCTTGTGTTGTGATTTATTTTCTTCTGTTATCCGCTGGAACTTGTTGTTTCACACAATGTGTCACGTTGATCAGATGAAGCACAGACACAACAATTAAAATCCATCATGTACATGTCTTATTAGAAAGTTGCTGATACTACAAGGAACTGACAAAGTACTACTCCCACTTTCGAGTAACACACATCCTTGCCGAGACAACCTCAAAGATCCCAGTACTTGTTTTTTCAGCAGACATATCAGGTACCTGTGTTAACATATAAACGTACCGGGAACAATGACAGTAAATAACAGATTTATACGAACGATGACAGCAAATTACAGATTTACAGGAACTACATGTATGACATCAAATAACAGATGTATAAGAACTATGACATTAAGTAACAGATTTACAGGAACTTAGTCCGAATTATTCTGACGTTTTATCCACTTTTTTTATATCGGTCTGTCGTCGATTAACGTCAGAACTCCGGCCCTCTATAATATGCGGGAAATAAGCGACCCGCGCCTGGGCCGCTTTTCAAACTGATATTTTAGAAACAAATCGTCACTTTCACACACATGTCGCACATGGATCGAAAGATCTATTCTTTGGTTTAAACGTTGTTTTATTCAAATTTTGTTTGACAATACATCGAAATACATGTTTTATAAAACAGAAAAGGAAACAAAAACAAGTGTCGTGACACTTATGTAAATTTGTTACCTGCTTAGTAATCAGCTTTTCAACACTAGCTACAAGAATGAAGTAATATGTACAATAGAATAATTACGGGAATAGGGGAGGGGGTAATGGATTGGTATGCAGTGGAAACCAGGAATGAATAACATATCAATATACATATGATCATCAGATGGTAATATCATATTGCTCTATTGCGATGAGTATGTGGAACACGATTCTGTAAAATATAACAATGGAATAGTAGATGAAAATGTCAGCAGTCCTGTAAGTGGACACTCGAAAAAGGTTAAAATGTATATACAAGTTACATAGAATAAATCGCCACTAAATCAACTATTGACAAAATTAGTATGTCACAAAGCACCGCCATGATTATTAAAAACGTTGCAGTTCACATACTAGCCATCACACTTATCAAATATAAGTCCATAAAACACTTTCCCGCCTCGTCCCTGGTACGTCCTGCTCTTTCAAGGTAACATATCACTTTTATCAAACAACCATAATCATGGCGAGTTAGTGACATAATATGGTATCAAGAAATGCAATGGCAAAATCACTGAATAAGCATATATAAGTCCAAATACATGTTAAAACATAGTAGTAAAACGAATGCAACACAACATACATATATATATATATATATATATGTCAAAATGAAATTGTTAAGGACTATTCGTTTATTTGAAATCTTTTAGTTTTGAGTATATAATTTTGGACGGCTAGAAAAATCGTAGTGTTATCTTGATGGGTTAGAGAGTCATCACCAAAGATTAAAAGATTAGTTGATAGTTGATAGGGCAAACTCAGAATATGAAGCTGTCTAAGTGCTGTATATTTATTACATTTTAGCAAATAATGTGTTGAGTTCTCAATGGCACCGCAGGAACAATTCGGGGATGGTATGATGTTTTTCGTAAACAAGTGTTCTTTTAGGGAGCTACATGACATACGCAGTCTTGCGTGGTAGATTTGACCCAGACGTGAACCCTGAAAGTAGTATGAAGGTGGACATGATTTACTATTAGATTTCAGAAAGGCTTTTAAATGGGAAATGGAAGGGTTATTTCTAATATGTAATGGAAGAGAATTCCAATTGTTTACAGCAGAAGGAAGAAATGCATTTAGATAAATATTTGTTTTACAAAGAATAGGTGACAGACATGATGGGTCAGAAAGTCTGGTATTATAACTATGAACATCACTAACTGAATTAGGTAAGAGATTATACAGATACTCTGGAGTATTTTGATAAAACATTTTATGGAATTGTAACAATTTATGATTAAGTCTACGGTCTATTAATTTATTCCATCCAACTTCTGTATATAGTTTGTCTANTAATGTGTTGAGTTCTCAATGGCACCGCAGGAACAATTCGGGGATGGTATGATGTTTTTCGTAAACAAGTGTTCTTTTAGGGAGCTACATGACATACATTGTACGCAGTCTTGCGTGGTAGATTTGACCCAGACGTGAACCCTGAAA